GAGCTGAAATTTTTATCACAAGTATGTCTCACCAGGATCACTTGTTCCTGAAACTTTCAGCCCAAATGGTCCGTCTTAGGTGAGATATCGTTTCTGAGGGGATCCCTCAAGTCTCAAAACTTCGACCTATGCTAGACAAATGAACATTTACTTAGTCTTTTTATTCTATTGAGACTCGAAGATTCTCGATATTAATTTAGAAAAAAAAAGACGCAAAACATGTAGCTCCTGACAACGCATATATTTAATGTTCATTCGATCATTCATCAAGCCGAGGAATGGTACCAACATTATGCAATTTTATACGAAATAAAGGAACCTGATTAATGTTACTACTTTGAAATACAAATTAGATTCCTCAATTCGGTATTAAATCGCATAGTGTAGACTGTCTTTGTCAGTAGTCAGTATTTTTTTGTCAGATTCAATACTTTTGTTTTGCTTATTTTTTAAAATGGATCCAAAACAAAACCGTCAAAAACTGCTTCAAATTGGATAATATACAAAATGTCATAAACCACAATCAAATAAATAAATCAAATTTCTCGGGTCAGGTCGGTCATGGGTACAACTAGAGGACTTCGGATCGGGTGTGTGGGTGTGGGTGTGGGCGTGTGGGTGGATGTGGGTGTGGGTGTGGGTGTGGGTGTGGGTGTGAGTGTGGGTGTAGCAGAATAGAAGACCCACATCCACACCTACCTGCACCCTTCTGGTCAAGGCAATATTCATATCATCTGACGAATCTTTCTTGCTAGACCAGAAATGAACGATCAGATCTGCGACTCGGTTTGCAGATACCATTTAGAATAGAACAAATCGACTGATTCTTCTCTCTACCAAGATAAAACAAATCCTTTTTGAGTTGATAATGTGAATGATTAGCCAAGATGGACTAAAAATTTTTCGAATAAACTAAGTGTAGGTGATACATGTACCTATAGATATCCTGATTGCAATGAGACACATCTGAGAGTGTCTCATTCGAGCCATTGATGTCTTGTCACGTTTTGCATTCAACGAGCATTGCATAGTAGCTTAAGAAAAATCATAAAAGGTTTCTATGGTATATTATCGAAAAAAGTGACATATGAATTTGCTTTTTCCTATGTCTAATTTCTGAGCAAATAGAATTTTTTTTCACGATAACTGCTAAAATACATTTGGAAATTGCAGTGACACTCACAATCGAATATTAATGATACTGGGCGATGACAACGGCTTCACATTGTCGTTCGTGGATTCTTGGTGTGGCGATAAGTCAACAGAATCCATTTGCGTTCTTTTTGGACCTAGAAACCAATGACGAGCAAAAAGAATCCAATAGGTTGCCACAATAAATGCTAAGCCACCGACGACTACTACAGCATAATTCATATTACCACTTGTAACTGGATATTGGGCGGGAAAGAACATGAATATCGTTGTGATAAAAAGCCATATGGATGAGATTATAGCAACAGGTAAACTGAATGGGCCCAAACTGAATTCACCAGGCACAAAACTGCGTCGAGCAGTTGTACATCGAAAGCAAATAGGCATAAAATAGGATGCTTGATAACCGATTGTCGCAATGGAGATGAGAGCACTGAAAGCAGTTGTCGATACTAATTGAAGTAGAAGAAGAAGAGAATCGAGAACGAAAATAAAAAGCACATTGATTAATGGGGTTTTCGTCAGCTTGAATATCAAACGAAGATAGGTCGAGAACGGAAATACACTATCACGAGCCATGGCAAAGCTAGAATCAATGACATATTGTTAGTTAACAAAACCGATAAAAAAATGAATAACTAATCCATACCCAATTCGACTGGTCACTGTTAATCCTGAGATGCCGGCAAAGAACAAATTGAGAATGACTAGAATCGTTAATGCAAGTGCACCTTGATGCGATAAAACAAGCTGATAGGTAGCAATGGCCAGATTTGGCACAGCATCGTTACCACTGTTGTTCGTCACAAATGACCCCACATCCGGAATAGCAAAAAGTAGAGCAAGTATGTAAGAAAAGCCGGTGATTGAACCACATACACAAGTGCCTACGATTCCTTTTGGAGCTGAAAAACGAGAAGAACTTGCCGATTTATATGCACTCATCTGGAACAATCGCTTTCTTTGAGATTTTTTACTCACCTGCACGCCCAGCATGTCTAGTTTCTTCGGACAAATGAGCACCAGCTTAAAAATGCAAGCATGATAGTGAATATAGATTCAAATCTACAATGATTACCTTCATAGCCCGAAAATGAAAATAGTGTTGAAAGAATACCAATCAAGCACACATATGCAAATGGAAATCCAGTACTATTGTATGTAGATGTAAAAACGTGATGAGCTGTAGCTCGTGTAGGTGCCACAACAAGAAGAACGATAACAATGCTAATGGTCGAACCAATTTGAAACACAGCAGCAAGATTATTGAGCCAGCCTTGTTGATCGATACGCAACGCATTTAGAGCAGCCCATACAAAAGTAACTCCTATACCAATGCCTACTTCAGTACCTATACTCAGCGAATTATTCCCCTGGAGAACAACCGTAGCATTAATAATCGTAGCAAAACCGGATGAAAATGCAGCATCCCCTTCAACATGTTAGCAGTAACAAATGTATTAACTATTTCTTCGTTTGCCTACCTGCAACGTTCCCAAGAAAATTGACCCAACCACAAGTGAACGAAGCTAATGGTGCATGCTTGGCGGAAACTAACTGACCTGCCCTATAAATCAAACAAAAAGCGTGCTTCTATTGTCAATCGATTGATGGGCAATGACCATGAACATACCAGTGATAGACAGATCCGGCACTCGGATACACAGAACATATTTCAGCCAAAGAGAGACCGATGAGAATGGTAAATATAGCTCCAATGATCCATGACCAAATGGTCACACCTGATCCACCAGTGTTCAACGAATAAGTAAATCCGATTGTAATCGATATGAAAACATTGACAGTAGTGAAGCAGAAGGCAAATGACATAAATGGAGAAAAGCCACGGTAGAGTTCTTGCGTGTAACCCATTTCTCGAAGAAGACGGACATCGGAGTCTTCGACTACTAGTTCCCCGTTTGTTGTCATAGTTCATATCAGGATAAATGATAGGCTAAAATAAGTTAGCTGTGTCTTAAAATCTGAAAATAAAAGTTTTTCATGCAATTCATTTTCTCGACATTGCCATGGATCGCTAAGGTTCTATTTAAAAAAGAACTAAATTGTTGGACACAAATTTGTAATACTAGAATTAATTTCAAATACTAGTCATTTGATCCAGTGTGATTAATGACCTAGACAAAAAAACTGTTTTCTCCACGTTTTATCAACGATGAGCGAACAATATATGAAACAATAGCACATAGTTTTTGTTTACAGGCGAAGATAATCGTAATAACTGATAAAAATTGTCTAAAAAATTCTCGTCATTTTTCAACTACTTCCAATAATTAACATCACAGTTAGACCATCCTAAGCAGACGAATGCATTGATGTATGACAGGTTGAATTGTTATATCATTTGTAAATCAGAAAAAGAGCTTTCACAAGAGAGAAAAAGAGGAAACAAATGTTTTTATTCATGAGAATCTTGAGCTTTTCGTCAACAAATGATGCCACTTTCACTGTTTTTCAACTTATGACATTCATAACTTGAAAGAGAAGTCAAAATAGACAGTGAATATTCTTTGAAGACGTTTGCAAAACTATGAGATAATCATGAGAAAAAGTGTCATTTAAATTCGTTCAAAAAAAAAACGAATGCATACAAAAAGAGAACAACACTGGATACGTAAGTCACTCATGAGTACGATTTACCTTCTCGTGTTAAAACTGCCAGAGGTGGGATCGGTTGGCATTTTTGCCAAACCGAACCGACCGTAACCGAAAAAATCTCTAACCGAACCGAACGTAACCGACCGAATTTTTTAAAATTTCTAACCGAACCGACCGTAACCGAAAAAATCTCTAACCGAACCGAATGTAACCGACCGAATATTTAAAAATTTCTAACCGAACCGACCGTAACCGACCGAATTTCAAAAATTTCGTAATCGAACCGAGTTTAGAGAAAGCGAAGTTTAGCTTATTTTAGTTAGGGTATTAGTGCTTTATAAATTAGCAACAACAAATCAAATAATAGCAACTAAAACTAATGAACACTTAGAGAAAGCAAAGAATAAAGATTATTTATTGGATCTTCTTTCTGTATTATAACTTCGTTACCTCTCAGGGCAAATTTTAAAAATATGTGAGATAATCCGCGTTGCGAGCAACAGCTAGTTGTTGTACGATTATATTCTTTTTTCTTCTTATGTTTCACTGAAAAAGTCCATTGAACCCAAATGAAACGATTATGTTGATTCTTTCTAACCGAACCGAACATAACCGACCGAATTTTTTAAAATTTCTAACCGAACCGACCGTAACCGAAAAAGTCTCTAACCGAACCGAACCGAACGTAACCGACCGAATTCTCTAAAAATCTTCAACCGAACCGATTTCGGTTACGGTCGGTCGGTTCGGTTCGGTTAAAAACCGAACCGGTCCCATCTCTGAAAACTGCTAGCATATTTTATAGTTATTCAAATTTCGGATCACTTTTAAGTTGTCATCAAAGTGAAGGACCAAAGCTGAATGATCGGGAAAATACGAATAAGTTTTGTTCGAAGGTATTTTTAAATACGCCATTAGGTTTTGTTATGTTGTTTTGATTTTGGTTAATTATATGCATCAAACCAAGACACTTTCGCTATCGATAGTGAAATATGTACAGGTGAGATGTGAGTCTCCTCACGAGGAAGAAAGAAAAAACATGTTGTATAAAAAACAAAATAGAGGACGAGAACGACTAGTCTGCACCACGCGTAGGTGACTTGTACTAGGTATGGCAAGGGGGAAACAGCGGACTTCAAGACTTCAAAACTTCAAAAGACTTCAACAGACTTCAACAGACTTCAGCCGCAGTGACTTCATATTTTCACAAGACTTCTAAAGACTTCTAAAGACTTCTGAAGACTTCATAGGACTTCAAATGACTTCGCAAGACTTCATAAGACTTCGTATGACTTCATGGGACTTCAAAAGACTTCAAAAGACTTCGTTAGACTTCACAGACTTCGCGAGACTTCACGGACTTCACGAGACTTCACGGACTTCATAAGACTTCAGAGACTTTGTAGGACTTCTTAAGACTTTATAAGACTTCGTCAGACTTCATAAGACTTCACAAGACTTCATAAAACTTCGCAAGACTTCACAAAACTTCGCAAGACTTCACAAAACTTCACAAGACTTCACAAGACTTCGCAAGACTTCAAGAGGCAGATTCCATGCGTATCAAAAAACCTTATAGAAATTACATGAAACCTCCATAACATGCAAAAAACAAAACTTATGAAATAGTAGGGGTGTCATTTACCGTTTACTGTATAATAAATATAAATTATTTATCATTTAATTTACGCGTAAATTAAATGAAAAGTAAATATAAATTGACACCCTTATTCATAACAGAGTAACTAGTGTCTTCCGAGAACCACGAACAGGAATGATATTGAAAATTGATTGCTCTCAAAAGTCTGTTTTGTGGAACTCACGTATATTTTCGAACAAAAATAGTGAGTGTAAGGTTTTAGTTCGAGGTTTGGCAGCTCCCCCTCTCCTCACTCCATTACAGACACTTAGCAACGGAGAAAGAGAACATTACGGACATACTCTCCTCCCCCTCCCCCCTCCCCCATTACAGACAGCCCCGCATTACAGAGACTCCCAATTACAGACAGCCACCCATTACAGACACTCCCCGTTACAGACCTTAGTAACGAGGATTAAATAATGGATAAATAAATAAATAAATATATACATATATAATAGTTTCATTTACCATCTAATTCAATGCTTATAAAAAAAAAACCAAATATAGAATTAAGACAAAAAAAATGTGAAAAACAAAATATACTGAACGAATAGCAACAATAAAACGAAACATAAGGGCACCTGTCAGAAAATTAAAAAATTTAGAAATTCTTGATTTTATACGTTCTATATTTCATGTTTGTATAATGAAGCTGAAGAACATACGTGAGTTCCACATTTTAGCCCCAATGGGGCTGCGCTGACAAGCTTTTTCGTCTTTTAGTGGGTGTAAAAGTAAAGGGAACACGCACGCTCAAACTTAAACTCACATGCTAAAAGAACTAAAAGGGCTAAAATATCCTTAGTGTAAGTATGAAGGCATGGACATGATACTAATACTTGAGACCCTAAAACTTTAACCATTCTACTATTTTCTTCTCTCAAGATTCAAATCGTTTGCGAATAAATAATCATTCTTTCTCGTATAAATTCTAGGGTGTGGAATGTGGGGGTGGGTGTGTGTGGGTGGGTGGTGGTGTGATGAGTATGCGTGTGGGTGTGGGTAATAATATATTATTCATTCACACTTACACCCACCCACATCCACACCCTCAAGAGACTTCAAGAGACTTCAAGAGACTTCAAGAGACTTTATGAGACTTCATGAGACTTCAAGAGACTTCAAGAGACTTCATGAGACTTCATGAGACTTCATGAGACTTCATGAGACTTCAAGAGACTTTATGAGACTTCAGAGACTTCAAGAGACTTTATGAGGATTCATAAGACTTCAGGAGACTTCAAGAAACTTCAGAAGACTTCAAAAGACTTACAAGACTTCATGGGACTTCATGGCTGAAGTCTCCGCTGTTTCCCCCTTGAGGTATGGCCACTTTTTTTGTTTGATAGGAAAGAAAGCGCACAGAAAACATCCTCACATTATCCAATCATAATGTAGTCTTCGAGTTTTCGTATGCTCGTAGAATCATCTGGAAATTAACATTCACACATAAGGGACTTTTCGTAAATGGCACCACCCATTACGAAGTAGGGAGAGAAAGCCCGAAAAAAGTGACTAAGCATGATATGAGGAAGGCTGGGGTTCGGCTACAAGTGATGCCAACCTTTCACAACACCAAACAATAAGATGGAGGGCAGGTGTGGGTGTAGATGTGAGTGTTGGTGGGCTATAGGTGGGCGTGGACCTGGGAGCTTTTCTCTTTCATTTACACCCACATCCACACCCAGACATCCACACTCACACTCACCTCTTATCCGTTACTGTCTGGAGACTTCAGCGCAAATACTTTCCCAAGACATAAACAGAAAAACTTTTCATTTTACATAAGAAATATCCTTTTCTCTGAATAAAATTTAAGGCAACATGTTTTCTCAATTTTTGCTTATCGTACTCAGCGATATATGAATGTATTCTATATAAAATACAAAAGAACAGAAAAATTTGAGTATTGATAGCAGAATATATCTGCAGTCCTTTTGTAATTTGCTACTGTCAGAATTTCATGTTACTTGAATTCTTTACAGAAATCATCTATTTTCGTAACATATTTGAGCCTGTTCGAGCTCCTATGTAATAGTTATGAACGTGAAATTTAGTATTTTTCAGCTGAGCATTCAATTAGCAAAACGACAAATATGAATATGTGTTGGCTGTTAGTTCGATTGCTTCACCTGTATAAAATTGCTTGATGAGAACACAATCGTGTAACAAAAAAACACAACTAAAAATGATATAGGTGAATGCATTTGCTTTGTAGATGCCTGGAAGAAAAAAGAACGATGGTAATTATTGAAGGGTAACAGCCCAATAATTAACATTTATTTGAATTGCGAGCTCACATTCAAGGAAAAACATGCAAAAAATCAATGTACTTTATTCTAAATTGTTGCATACAATACGAGGCTATTCTGACCAAGAAACAAACAAATTATTGTGGGTGTGGGCGTGTGGTATGGGTGTGGATGTGGATGTGGATGTGTCTAATCACCGAATACTCACACCCAGACACCCACACCCACACCCACACCCTATAATTCTATGCTTTATTAACTTCTTTTTATGTTGCTTTTTTCTTAGAAATAGCATATCTTATCAACGAGTCATCATTAAATTAGTTCAACTTGACTGATGATTGTCAATTTAATTCTAATATTCCTGTTCATTCTTTCTGTCTAGTCTAATAATTGTGAGCAACGAAGATATTTCTTAAATCCATAGAAATATTTCGCATGTTGGTTCCTTTTCGCTCGTTCATCAAGTCTGTAACATACAACACTGGAAATGCTTTCAAACGAAATAGTTAATTAGAGAGAAAAATTTTTAAAGATTATCTGTTTTCAATTTATATGATTTCTGTATTTTTTTAGTTTTTTTTTCTCGAAATAATATGGTTATGTATTAGCATATAACCATCAGTATAATGCAACATCAAAAACCTAGATAAAAACCATGGCAGATTGTCGAAAAAGAAAATTGTTTGAACATTAGAAAATATTAGTAATAAATCAAGTCACAGAAATGATTTTCTTCATCGTGACATTAATTTATTCTATTAAATTAAAAATATTTTACTATCATTTCATCTAAATATCATTCGCAACAAAACAAACTTCATAGTGAGATAAAAATTATATGATTCGTGTTCACTTTAACCATATCGTAGAACAGAGGAGAAAAATTACTTCAAAGAACTACAAGATTCTGAGCCGATTTCAATGAAAAAAGACATTGAACTTTGCCTATGTTTAGTATGAATATAGAGTATTCATATCTGTGACAATACTTTTACCTGCACCTGACATTAAAGCAGTTTGTACGAAATGATTGTAAATGCTTTAACAGAAAGGTCTGGATGTAGATGAATATGAAGAATTTTTTATATTATTTTAACCAGTAATCATACTCATACTCGCATATATCCTCTACTATTCGTTCAAATCTGATGTAGATACGAAAAAAAATGCTGTATGAATAATAGCAATGTAGTCATATATTAAACAACTATTTCATTACTCGTACAAGTTGATTTTTCTCAATAAAAAGGGTACAATCGATATTCATATATAGTTTATTAAAGGGAGTTTCATTTTTTTTTGTATTCCTAACTAAGCGAAAAAAAGAAAATATCCAGTCATTATGTTTTTCATGAAATATGATTTTTAATGATTAAATTTATTTCCAATGTCATTCTTTTTCTTGTTCAGCGCCATGTTAACTTGTTTTTGTTAACAGCCATATTTTACGATCTCCCGCTGTTGATGACGTTGTTGCAGAAAATCCAACATTCTGAAATGTTCCGATAATATGTGCTGGTGGATCAATACATTGAACACCTAGTTCATGATTACATAATTTTTCATTTGAACATGATTCTTGTAAAACTCGAATAAGTTCTGGATGAATATTGTAACTTGAAACACCTGTACTATGAACAATCGTCGGTCCTGAATTTTCTTCAGATATCTTACATGAAACTGCTAATGTTGTATAAAGTGGTAAAGACATGTTCGTTGTTGCTTTAAATATTTACTTAGCTGAACCTTGAAAAGAAAAGTATATGAAATCAATTATATATTTTTATGTGTCAGTGTATGCAGATCAAATATTAAATCTAAAATATTTGAGTAAAAATACAAAAGAAACAGATATTTTTAGACTAATTCTTTTTTTTTTAGAATCGAAAAATCTGCTTTCATGCATCCGATAATGCTTTTAATTACTATGTCTACAGTAAATGATGATGGTAAACTATCGAAATTTAATTTTTATAGTGAAAGATGATTTTGATTAAGTACATTATATGCAGCTCAATGTTTCAGATTTCAATAAGACATTACCGAACATATCAGAGAACAATTAAAGATAAATTGTTGAAAATATAGTTCTCACGTTTTCTTTATGTAGAAAACTAAGACCTTTATGAGTTATATATATATAATCAACATCTTTAATTTAAAAAGATTTCAGCCATCGGACTGAAACTAGTGCTGAAATTTAGAAACAAGATTAAGATACGTGTATGAATTATCGTACTAGATTTTTATTATATTTTCACTGTGAAGTGAATCGTGACAGAATGGCAAATGATTATTTCAAATACGTAGGAGCGCATTTATATTGTAACTTTTTTTTTAATTTCACGAAAAAATATTTTCTTAACTGTCTATCATTTTTAGAAACAGAGACGATTGCAAATAGATTATACAAAATTTAAGTTGTCTCAAACGGAACATACAATTAGAAAATGAAAATACACTAGAATGAAGAAAATTTTCGAATAACGAATTGAGTTTTATTATTTATCATCCAAGCCTATGTCAAATAAAAATTTTTATGAAAAGTTTCTCCCTAGCAGATGTTGATGAATTTGTTACAAAAATTCAATATGAAAACGCACGAATGTTTGTTTTTTCTATAAATTTTAACTGTAGTTTTAATTTAAAAGCTGTACATCTAGAAAATTAAAGATTTAGATTAGATATATGTAACAAGAGTTTTAATCTTTCAGGTCTAAAAAAAGGAAGGAGAGAACATAGTAGTGGTCGAAAACCTGATAGACGGCGAACTTTATTACTGCAAATGGAAAATGCCATTTGGATCAAATATCCAGCTTTCTCCATGGCGTGAAACACAAGTATTTTAGTATGAGTGTTTATTTATCTAGGGCAAAATATATGAAGCATATGATAGGAAAAAGTGTTTGAAGAGAACAGAAAAATGGTCTAAACTTAATCTCATCAATATATATATATCCAAATATAGTGATAATGCAACAACAAAAAAACAGCAGAGAAACAATTTGTTTCAGAGGAAAAATAATATTTACACATGGAAGAAGTACTTGGAGAGAACAGAAAAATTTCTCCAATCTAACCGCATATACATACATATCCATATATATATATATATATAATGATGATGGATCGATGAGAGACCAACAAAGAAATGGTTTCTTTCGGCGAAAAACTGGTTTTTTAATGATTAGTATAAGGAGAAAATAAACATAACCAATGTCTTATTGAAAGTCGTTTTGACTTTTTTCTAAAAATAGTTGGTTAAATATTCTCCGAAGAAAGCAAGTCAATTTTTGTTATAGAGGGTTATTTATTTGTATACTCGTCGTTGTTTTCACTTATTTGACGAATTGAAATGAATAAAGGGAATCAGAATTGTTGGATTAAGAATGTATTAGCTTCTGAATTGATTGAAAGTTGGAAGTTTACATTTTTGTATGAAAACAACAAGGAGAAAGAAAATACACTATAACATATTTCACGCTCCAATAAATTTGTTAGTTACAAAAACTGTTTGGTCGATTTCAAGCATTTATTTTTCATCCATTTGGGTAGAGCATATTGATCATTTCGGTATTTTTTTGGGAATAGAACACTCACACCTATGACTGCAGAAGCCAATTATGAACTTTATATGATAGACAACATAATTGAACGCGATGATTACAATGTGCGAGTATTCACATATTTTATCTTAAATTAAACGTTATGGTAGCTATTTGATATATTTTTTGGTTTCCTAAGTTTTTTTCCTTTCAATGGCTGCAGTTTCAGACGATTTTATAATGGTTATTTTGATGTGTTAAGCGTCTGGTTCTATGGCTGACACCTGATTGGAATGCTCAATGATTTGACTACTTGATAATGACGTGATATCTACTGCTTCTTTTGTCACACGTTGATACTAGCAAATACATGCCATCCGAAAACTTTACAATCGTCATTCGGCTTATTCAGAATATTGACACGTATTTTGATAATGATATCCAACCAAAGAATGTTAATATAGTGTGATGCTTTAAAAAAAAGTAAGACTTAATGCAACAAGTAGGACTTATCGACTTGCTTTGGGGTGTGAAAGTGAGTGTACGTGTGTGATTGTGGATCAGGAAAGAGCATGTTCTCCTTCTCACCCACACCTACACCCACACACCTTTTTATAGTTTATAAATAATTCGGAGTTGAGCTTCGATCACATATACAGTGATAGGTTCGACAGAACCTGGACCTTATAGGCACCAACAGAGTTTTACCCATCTGAAGTTTTACGAAATTTTTACTAGCGTTAATGACTTTATATGAAGTATAATAAAGCTTGGAGCAAAAAATATAATAATAAAGAATAAATAGAAATAGAAACCTTGTATATCTAAAGTAAATATAAACGACGAAATCATTATCTCTATAAAATAAAAATAAAGTAAAGATAAACTAACACCTTTCGCCTTTTTATACTTGAATATGACGACGACAACAAATACTCGTCTATTTATTCTTGTTACTGGCGCAGCTGGTAGAATTGGTAGTTATTTTACTAAAAATGCTAATAAACAGAAATATAAACTTCGATTAATGGTTTTTATGGCACACATTTATATGTCTATTTGAGTGTTGTTTTGTTGAGGTACATCCTTCGAATCCGCCAGAAGAAGTTGAATCATTAAAATCACATGGTGAAGTTATCGAAGCTGAGTTGGAGAAAGTGGAAAGTTTATTAAAAGCATGTGAAGGTGTTCATACAGTTTTTCATTTAGCTGGACAACCAAGTCCTAATACAAGATGAGATTCATTACTAAAAGATAATATAGAAGGGTATTCATTTTCGTTATAATATCGTTTTATTCTTAAAAAAACTCATTATAGGACATATAATATATTTTTAGCAGCGAAAAAATCGGGCGTAAAAAGAGTCATTTATGCAAGTTCTATTCATGCTATATCAGGTTATCCTATAGATACACAAGTTAGAACAATCGATCTAGTAAATCCAGGAGATCTTTATGGTATGAAGTTTTCTCATAGTTGACTTTCATATTTTGTCATTTGGTTTATTAGGTGTAAGTAAATGCTTTGGTGAAGCACTTGGACGCTATATGGGTGAGCAAGAAGGACTTTCAACAATTGCAATACGTATAGGTTCCTACCAGCCTTATTCAATTATAAAAGATGAATCAAGAAGTGCTGCATTTATGAATAGTTGGTTGTCACAACCTGATGCTGTTCACTTATTCGAAAGATGTATTGATGCACCACTTACTCTAAAATTCGCAATTGTACATGGTCTTTCACGTAACACATTTAATCGAATGGACATTAATTCAACCTGTGAATTATTGGGTTATGATCCACAGGACAATTTTTTTCAAGCACAGGAATGTTTTAAACCATTAAATATAACAAATAGATTTCCTACATTTAGTCTTCAGTGAGTCTAATTTTCATTTTGAGACTAGTTTTTATTCTTCCTTTTGTTATAGTGATTCGCAACAAAAATCTGGTCTTCGAGATAAATCACCAGAACAAACAAAAGAGAATTAGATGTCGATATGTTTATCGTTTTGCTTTTTCATAAGAAATATAGTTAACCCAATGATTGCATCGAGAAAAAAGTCCTTCACATCTTATTGAATCTGGAAAATATTTTTTACCGATGAATAAAAAAATTTTCTTTCGAATTGAAGTAAAATAATATAATTTCGAATGAAAATCGTTCTAAAAGAAAAATGAATGATTTATTAAAATGACAACTGTGAAATAGACCTGTGACAGTTCCCATTTTTAAGAACTAGTTCTTTTTTCATGAACTGGGTCCTG